AATATAGTGATATATTTGACGTGACATTTTTTGTGAGTTAATATTAATAAAAAAGTTATTATTGTTGACAAATTGTTGTGAAGGGTTGATGAAGTTTATTTTAAGCTTTAGGTAATTGAAATTATTTGAATTTCTTGGTTTGTTAATTTCATTTAAAATTGACCCATTTAGTTGAGATTTCAATTAAGATGGTCGTCATCGGGGTGAAGCATTTAAAACACTTGCATGTGTGATTTCTTTAAACTTGCACTTTAATATTTTTAAAAGTATCTGTCTCGTCCACTTCAAACTTTGTGAAAAGGATGATTATACTAATTAGGTGAGACTTTCAACTTCGCCCCTTAGACAAGCCAGTTTGTTTGGAAGCGTGTATAATTTAAATGTCGTGTCTGATTTCAAAATAGAGTTCATGATTTTAAAACAAGTATAGACTTTTCAAAAAGGAAATTTGAATGCTTTTCAAAATGAGAGTAACTTGTGTGAAAATATCATTTTAACCCTTACGTCATTCTCGGACTGTTCAACCTATTCATCATACATGTCAATTTGTGATTTCATATATTTGAGCATGCTTGAAAAATATTGCATGCCTTTTGAATTGAATTGTACGACCTTTATACATGCACATTTTCATTTTGAATTTTAAAAGTCTTTATGTAAGCTCATGTCTTTGCGGATTCAGTGATGGATGTGATGTCTATCTTATTATTGTGCGTTCAAATTCATGATATCTATTATTTTGTTGAATTTTTAAACTTTTTATGAGACTTGATTTTCTCATATCAATGATTGCATCTTGTCTAAATGTGTCTGTGCAAGTTTTAATTACTTATTAGTTTTTTTAATGAAAAATATTGACAATTAAAGAAATCATTGATAGACTTGCTTTAATTTATTTTATTCCAAGTACAATAGTCAAGTGTTCATTGTAGTGTCTTACGATCATTTATGAGCTATCAAATTCTTCATAAGACTTATGTGGGTCCTACTTATATTTAACTTTATTATTTTGAAATGATTTAAATGATAATTTGAGGAGTCACTTTTTTTTTTAATTTATATTAGATATTTTCATTTAATTCATTTTTATTTTATATAAGATTAATGCCCAAATAATCCAATGTAAGTCTTTTTGCAAGTCTTGTACACTCGAAATATTGGCAGTCTTTCGATGTTTATCACGACATGAATGAAAGTGCCATAGAATTTTAAAGGGGATTGCTATTTTTAAGGTTGGAATAGATGATCAGATGACAAAACACAAATTTTATTATCTAAATCCAACACGAATGAAAGTGCCATAGAATTTTAAAACCAATGATAAAGTAACATAACCTTGTTTTAGTGTTGCCTTGTCTATGGTTCATATTCTCTTTTCTTTTACTCATTTTTTACATGAATGATTAAATAACAACATATTAAGTTTTAAAAATAAATTTAGTGGAATAATTTAATTTCTAAATCACACAACTCAAGAAATAGAGATATCATGTATGTTAGACATTATGTAATAAAATTTTTCACATACTAAATTTATAAATAATAACAATGTAAAATAGTATAAGCTTGTTTTTTGTCATTCCATTTATGTTTCTAATGAACACTATTTCATATTCATGTTTTTTTTTAATTAGTCTCAGGAGCATCTTCTAAACACAAGCTAACATGCTCTTCATAAATATGTTCCCCATTGGCACAACCGACACAGTCTACTATTATCTGGGATGGAAAGACACTTATTCACCCTTAGCCAATACATACCTCACCATCACGACAAGGAATTATTATGGTTACACAACTCTTTGAAGTGGCAGACAAACATCTATGCACATCGTTACATTGATATCTCTAATCAATACCATTAGGGGATGAACTCTATCTTTCATCATGTCCATGCAAATATTCTTATAAACAATAGTTTCATTGTATTCTTCATAGCATACTATATTTTTTTATGAGATATTTGATGATTGTTAACCAAAGCATGAGTACCCTTTCTATGAGATATGAAAGTCATACTATCATCATCAAATGCCTTCCTAAGAAAAATTTTTGTGCAGCTTTTGATGCGATAATATTGACATGCATACATCTTGCTTAATGATATTAATAATCAATTATAATATAAATCTCATTGTTATAGAATATAAACCGGAAGAATTTGAATCAAAATAATATTTTGAAGTAAGAAACAATATTGTAATTTTGAAACATATATACTCACCTCACTTTCATATGGCTTACTTACTTTCGTCTTTTTTCTTGACCGTAAAAATAAGTATTTTTAGAATTATCTACAATTTAAGAATAAAACATCTATGCAATTGCAAAAAGCTAATAATAAAAAGTGAGTAAAAAAAAAAAAACACCTATGCAATTTATTTATTTTAAATGGTTATTATCATAAATCATTTATTTGTTTTAATTTAATTGATCGTAACACAATAATCATTTTTAATGAAATCATATTGTATCCTAATGCTATAAGGTGTAAACAAAATTTTAATTTATCTTCAAAATTTTCTATAATTTAGCATTATATTTTACTTTAAGTATTTAAACTATTTTTTGTTGATATCTATACATTATTATCTATCTTAATTAATAATTTTTTTTAATTTTATATTAAGAATAATATTAATTTTTAAACTTTAGATTAACTTTCCAATAACAATTAGATTTGATTATTATTGTTTTTAATTTTTTTTATATTTACTCCAAAATTAGAATTAAATCGTTTAAATTAAAACTTTAACATTTTTAACAAATAATCTAAAATTTTTTTCTTATAATTAAAAAAATAATATATAGTCTTACTAAATTTATTATTCTTGTTATTCAGACAAAATATCATATTAAATAAAATACACTTTTAAATAAAAATTATTCAAAATAACATGCTAAAATTGATGTAATCTGGTTTAAATAGCTTTTTAATACACACACATATATAAAACCAAATATTTTGCTCAATTTTAATATAGCATAATTTATTAATTGATTAAATAATAATATTCACTCATCATTTTTTTTTCTTGTAAACTTTGTCGTCGTTTCTTGGCTTACTAATTGAAGTGTGAAAATATTTATGAGATTGAGAGTTTCTTGACTTAGTAAACTCTTTAATATTATTTTAAAAACTGAAAAATGCCTGTGGAGTGGAGGAAGAGTATTTTGGTCACATTTTTAAGAATAAAGGGGATGCACAAGAGTGTGCCAATTATAGAGGAATTAAGTTGATGTGTCATACTTTAAAATTATGGGAGAGGGTAATTGAACATAGGTTAAGACGCATTACAAAGATTTCTCATAATCAATTTGGATTTATGCTGGGCAGGTCTACTATGGAAGCTATACATTTATTGAGAGGTTTGATGGAGAAGTTCAATGATAATAAGGATAATCTACATTTGATTTTTATTGATTTAGACAAAGCTTACGATAAGGTTCCAAGAGATATCCTTTGGAGAGTTCCTGAGAAAAAAGGTGTTGATATGACTTATATTCAAGTCATTAAAGATATGTATACTAGAGCTGTTACTTGCTTTAAAACCGAAGGAGGATTGACCAAATATTTTCCTATTTCTGTTGGATTACATCAGGGATCGGCTTTAAGCCCATATCTTTTTGCTTTAGTTATGGATGGTCTTACTGGACATCTACAAGAGGATGTACCTTGGTGTATGCTTTTTGCTGATGATATCCTTCTCATGGATAAAACGAGAGAAAAAGCCTAGGAAAATACTTGAATTATGGAGTTCTACATTGGAGTCTAAAGACCTTCATTTAAGTAGAACTAAAACTGAATACATGGAATGTAATTTTATTAGTAGTAGCTCTAATGACAGAAGTGTGACTTTAGGTGATCAAATTATTAAAAGGTGTGAACGATTTATATATCTTGGGTTTGTTATTCAAAGCAATGGTGATGTAGATGGGGATGTTAATAGTGGAATTCAAGTTGGTTGGTTGAAGTAGAGGAATGCTTCAGGCCTTTTGTGTGATAGAAAAATACCGCTTAGACTGAAAGGAAAATTTTATAAGATAGTGGTGAGAATTGCAATGCTCTATGACGCTGAATGTTGGCCTTTAAAAGAGAAGCATAATAATAAGTTAAGTGTTGTCGAGATGAGAATGATTGGGTGGTTGAGTGGGACTATATTAGAGAAAGTCGTCTTAGATGGTTTGGTCACATTAAACGTCGACCATCTGATGATCCGATTAGGAGAGTAGACGTTTTAGATTCGACTTAGATTAGATTCGACTTGTGTTAAGAAAGACAGAGGTAGACTTAGGAAGACTTGGGCTTATTGTGTAAAAAATGATCTTAATTTGCTAGAACTAAATGAAAATATGACACTAAATAGGACGCAATGGAGAAAAATGATTCATGTAGCCGACCCCACGTAGTGGGATTAAGGATTTGTTGTTGTTGTTGTAAACTTTGTCGTCGTTTCTCCATAAATGGACGTCATTAGCCTGCGTGCAGGTGAATTTGCATTTCTAATTCATATAGGGAGTTGTGTAATATGGATGCGCTCTAGTAATTTCAATGCTTCAGACATGTCGACGCACTTTATTTTCTGAACCAACATCATTTAAGTGACTTTGACAACTGTCGAGACAAATTTGTCATCACACTTGGTCAACGGTCAAGTTCGCGCAACATGTTTGTAGCTCATTGCCATCACACTTGGTCAAATGGATCTTGAAGGGTTTTTTAAGCAAACTCGATGTGACTGAAGCATTGACGATATCCGTTTTGTTCACGGAAATTGTTTTACTGATTTTGATGATTATCTAAGCATTTCAACATTAATTTGCAGAATGTCACATTCAACATCTATGTTTGACATCATGTTCGCTTCCTCAAATCATAGAAACTTATATTAATGTCAACAGCGTAGGACCATTACTTTCATTAGCTCACTTTTTGCCTCTTCATTTTGATATGGTTTGGCTTCTCTTATTCTGATTTTTACTTTATTCCGATTGTGTAGTTAGAGTTTGAGGAAGCAAGGAAAGAGCTTCAGCTAAAGCTAGAAAAAGGGACATCTCTAGACGAGATTCGGAAGAGGATAGTCAAAGGAAGTATAAAGAGCCAAGCAGCCAAGAAACTAGAGGATAAACAGCATTTTACTATAGAGAGAGTATTACGTAAAAGTAGAGACCTTACGCAGTTCATCAATAAAAACTCTTTCCAACCTGAAGAAGGGAAAGCTTTTGATAGTAAAAGAACTCTAACAACTGTGGAACTCTGGTCAAAGGGTTTAGAGGAGAGATTTGATGGCCTAATTATTACCAGGAAACTCTTTAAGTTGGATGACATGGAGCTTATGGTTAGATTAATTGTTTTATGCCACTGATTTTTTATTCTGATTTTGTAGTTCATTAATGTATTTTCCATGTTTCAAGGTGCTTGTGGCCAATACGGAAGGTAAAATGAAGGTTTTCTTGGGCACGGATTATGAGAAACCACTGCTTCTTCACTGGGCATTATCAGAGAAGGCTGGCGAGTGGATGGTTAAGTTTCAATCATATAATTCAAGAGAGACTGTCAAAATGGACCTGTGACTTTTTGTCTGTGGTCATTTTAGTCACAGAGTCTATAAAAGTGCCAAATTAGTACTCCTAGTCTTTTAATATTTGCTGAAATAGTCCCTAGAGAGGACTATTTTAGACTCCTTTAAAAGTGTCCGGGAACTAAATTTGACACTTTTGTAGACCGGGACTAAAATTTGGTCATGTGAATTGTCAAGGGACTATTTTGACACTTTACTATGTACTTCAATATATTTTAAGGCGAACTAGTATATTTTGTTTTATATGTGCTTGATAATATTCTTTCAGTATAATTCCTTGTTGAATTTCAATTGTTTGAGCTTCAATGAATGTAGGTGCCCCCAAGCAACAGTTTACCTCCAAATGCAGTTTTGCTAGACAAGGCATGCCAGGCCCCGTTTATTAATTTCTCCTCTGCTGATCCAGCTTTACAGGTATTGAAATTAATTTCACTTTTCTCTTTGCAATTAAATTAGCAGAAACTAGCAAGTACTGACTGAACTTTTTAATGAAATGTATGCTTTTTTTTCTCTTAAAGAAGTTATAGTCCTATTTCTTATGAGAAAAGTGCCAAAATAGTCCTCCGACTGTTTTCATGGGGCCATTTTAATCTTAGAGTCTATAAAAATGTCAAATTAGTCCTCAATTATAAGTGTGGGCTAACTTGACACTTTTTATGAACTCTAGGACTAAAATGACCCTCTTTAAATTATCAAGGGGATTAGTTTGGCACTTTTCTGTTTTTGCTATTGTATCCCATCAATGATGGTAAATTTTTCATCAAACAATTTATTTTATTGTAGTTGCAACAAATTGAGATAAATATTGATGCTGAACATTTTGATGGGATGCCATTTGTCCTTTGCTCTGGTGATCACTGGATAAAGAACAATGATTCAGACTTTTATGTTGAATTTGGCGGTCGAACTACCAAATTTTTGAAGGTTTGTTCACTTATGTTTAATATATTTAAGGGGAATTTACATATGTAGCACATAATTCTTATATATTTACATTTCTCACACCTAAACTTTCATATCTACATACATAGCACTTTGTTGCTTTAAGCCTATGCATGAAAATATGTTTTTCATTTTCAAAATGTGGTAATAATGTTAATTTTGATGTAATAGTAAAGATTTGATTGCTGTGTGTAAATATGAAAGTCTTGATGTGAGATATGCTGTGAGGGTTTCTGCCAAAACCGATAAGAAAAATGTTGAGCAGAATCAAACAAGACTAGTAAACACAAAAAACACAAATAACAACGAGATTTAATGTGGAAGAACTCGAGAACGGGAAAATACCACAAAGCCACACCACATCAAGAAATCAACTATGAAAAATGAGAATTGTTCAAGTTACATCAAACGCAAGCCTCTCTACACCTTTTGGAACTCAAGAACACTCCTCTTCTTCATGACAAGGGAACAATCAAAATGCAATGCAACACACAAAAATTTCGCACCGAAGCCAAAACCTAAACCTTCGAATCACCAAATTAAGCTACTGACATCGAGGCACCACGATAGGGCGGGATGGTACTCCATCGGGCGCAGCGACACTGACCTCCAGCCATGCATTGTCGAAAGACTTGTTGAGTGCAGTGGTGCTCCTCTGGGTGTTGCATCGTCGAGTGCTTTGTTTCAGGACATGTATCGGGCATGATGGCGTTCCTTCAGGGCTCTTGGTACATGAGTGCTGTCCCAGAACCCAAACAGGGGGCCACCTCCTATACCCCCTAGCAAACTCATTTAGTCATATAAACTGTGAGCATTGAGTGACTAATTGATTGCCATGATTAGACTTCATATCATAAAAATTTTCTACTTTGAGATTGATTGCAATCAATTTTGCTTCTCCAAATCTACAACACATTCATAGTTGTGAATAGTAGTGTGGCTCATCCATGGTCTCAACTTTCCTGAATTACAATTGAAATTAGGCACAAATTTATTTTCTTAACCGTTACAACCGTAATCAATATGTCTACATGATTCTGATTGTGTGTATCTTCTTAAAAAATAGTTGACCATATTCTAGGAGTGAACAAATGGAATGATACCTTAGCTGAATACGCTTCGTCTTGACATGAAATATGGTGTTCTTTGCTAGACGAGTAACACTCATACTATCACTATGAAGCTTTTTATTTCCTTGCTTTTTGCTCAGTTTGCCATAAAGCTCTGTAGCTAAATAATTTCCTTGCTAGCATTGTTGATACCAACACACTAAGCTTTTGCACTTGGAAACCCAACTCACTATTGTGTTCCTCAAAATGAATATATAGTCTGTTGTATTTCTTCCACCATCACCATATCTTGCCAGATTTGATTTTACATAATCTTGTAGATCAATCCTCGCACTTCCTTAGAGTGAAGATTTTACAACTAACTGCTGTGTTCCTCAAAATGAAGATATGATCTGTTGTATTTCTTCTACTATCAACATATCCTGCAAATCTGATTTTACATAATCTTGTAGATCAATCCTTGCACTTCCAATGTGTTGACTGTTTCCTATAGTATAAATCCATTTCACCATCTTCTAATAATGTTTCCTTGGCTTTTCTATGTACCTGCTGACTACTCTCATTGCATGTGCAATATCTAGTTTTATACAGATTTGAATTTACATAACCTTGTAGACCATTCCCCGCATTTCCAAAGTGAAGTGTTTTGTTTCCATTTAAATATTTGAGAATCCACTCCACCTCCCAATGATGTTTTCTTGATTTTCGATGTACCTGCTGACCTCTTCCACTACATTTGTAATATCGATCTTGTGCATGATACCCAAGTGATGGTAGTGATTTTAGGGGCCTTGGAGAGGTGGGGGCAAGGTAAGGAAGTGGTTTCTGGATTGTGGATGAAGGACTACAACAATTATGGCCGGCTAGAGCAGAGGGGCAACAAATGATGACAGTCCAAACAATGGTAGTTCGCTGTTTGGGGCAGCTAGACAATAGGAAAATAACAATGGGGAGGTATTGTGACTGTGACAACTATAGTGGAAGGCTGGGACATTGAGGGCAGTGAGTGAGGTTGGAATGATTATGGAAGCGAATATGAAGCAGCTGGAAGATTCTGAGCTATCAGAAAGAATAAGAGGGAGGGCTGGTGGCTAATTCAGAAGGAGGGAAACATGTATGGTGGAAGGTAGGGGGCTGAAACAATGATGACATCAAGCAGGAGCGCTAAAATCACAGGGTACTTGGGTTGAAATGCAGGAATTGCTAGAAGAACAGTATCAATAGTTGTTCTAGGCTGTTGCAGCAGGAAATGACTGGCGGGAGCAGTGTGGGAGGATACAGAAGGTGAATGGGGAAGAGAAATACCTTTTCAGGCAAGAGATATAGCTGGAGCACCACCTAATCCCTTAGATACAACCCTCGAATAGGAAAATAGATTCTAGTAGCAGTCCTGATAGGAATATGAGCCAAAAAGTACCTAAAAACACAAAAATAACATATTTATAGACTTAGGGCCCGTTTGGGGCGGCTTATTGGGGTGTGGTGGCGGTATGAAAACGCGACAGAGGTGTTTGAAAAACACGTTAGGAACAGATTATTCCTTCCGCTCATACGCGCTTACAACATTTGCTTAACAGAAGGAGAAGCGGAGAAGGAGCCACGCCCTGCGTCTACTTCCCGCGTTAGCGTGAAAATTTCCTTCCGTGCCCCCTCCCCATCGCCCTCGCCCATAGCCCTCGCCCTCGCCCTGCGAAGAGGAAGAATGGCACAAACAGGCTTACCTTCCTTGATGCCTTCTGGTTTCTGTCGTTGCCTTGCCCTCTCACCAAGCGAAGAGGAAGAATGGCGCAAACAGGCTTACCTTCCTCGATGCCTTCTGGGCCTTCTGGTTTCTGTCGTTGTCTGGTTTCTGTCGTTGCCTTCGCGATTACCTTCTTCGATGCCGTCTGGTTTCTGTCGTTGCCTTCGCGATTACCTTCCTCGATGCCTTCTGGTTTCTGTCGTTGCCTTCGCGATCGTTCGCGATCCCGTCGTAGTCTTCCCAGCTAGCTCTAATGGCGACTGACGAAGGTTCGTTCTCGAAGGCGAGCATTTTGGGCGAAATCGGGAGGGATCGCGAGGTTCGTTCACGAAGGCGATCGTTTTGGGCGAAACTGGGAGGGGGAGTGACAAGCGAGGGTTTGGGGTAGAGATAGATGGAAGTTAAAATTTTAATTATATCATAATTTTAAGGATCTATAATCAATTATATCAAAATTTTAATTATAATTAATTTAAGAATCTATAATTAATTTGTATATCTTAATATTTGATTAATGAATAAAAATATATCAAAATTCTAAGAAATTCTTCATTAATGTATTAATAGTTGATTAATCAAAATTTATTAACTAATAACTTATAAAAAAAATAAAACAAACAATTTCAACAAACAGGGGCAGAATGGTCAATTCTCCAGCAACAACTATCAATAAGCTATTCTAAATAAGCTCCTCCAAACAACAAGCCAGCTTATTCTGATAATCTGCACATTATCAAATTATCAGAATAATCTGCTTATCAGCAGATTATAAATAATCAACAGCTGCGCCAAACAAACCCTTAAAGTAAATAGGAGTGGACCCCAGTCCCAATAGGTTGGAACTCTACTTAAAGAAATGGTTGAATGACCCTTTGGGACCGATCCAAGCCGCCCTCGCTCGTGGGAGTTTGTGGTATTGTAACAATGATCACACAAAAAAAAGCCACCTGAACTGAACCGCTCCCACGTCAGTACATATCATTGCATACTTCAAACTTTCAACATTTGAAGCATACTTCAGATATCTTAAAGTGACACTAAGGGGGTGCAAATTGATTTTGCCCCACACATGTTGAACTTGGGTAAAGCCATCTCAACATATTTTGTCTGAGACAACGTTAATGTACCTGGTCTCATATCCTTGATGATTCTCATTCTGCGGATTTTTTTGTTGGACCTAAATTTTTTATTTCAAACTCCTTTTATAACTGTTCATTTAAATAATTGATCTTCTTTATATATCTGCTCCTGTGATTAATACGTCATCCACATACAAAAGATGCACCATATAGTATTTATTATGGTATTTGATGAAACAATAAGGAATTGCCTGCCACTTCGTGCATCTATTGTCTGATATAAACTTGTTAAACCTTATGTGCCACTGTCTTGAGACCTTCTTCAAACATAAATAATCTTCTTTAGTTTGTAGAACATGTCTTCTTTCTCTAGAATTTCATATCCCTGTGGTTGCACCATGATTAATTCTTCTAAATTACCATGTAAGAAAGTTGTTTTCACATCCATTTGCTTCACATGCAGGTATTCCATTGCTACTAAGCTCAACACAACTTTGATAGTTGTGATCTTTACTACAAGAGAAAATTAGTGTAGTTAACTCCTTTCTTATGTTGAATTCTCTTTACAACAAGCCTTTCCTTATAGTGATTGCTACCTTCTCATTCATCCTTTAGCTGATAGACCAATTTATTGTGCAATGCCTTTTTTGTCATCTGATAATTTTGCCTATTCTTATGTCTAATTTGACATTAATGATTACATCTCATCATCATCCGTGACAAACTCTCACTTATTTGAGTCATCAACTTGAGTAGCCTCATCATAGCACTTTTCACCACTATCAGTCAACAATAGATAGTAGAAAGAAGGAGAATACCTTTGTAGCAGTCGTTTGATTCTGTTGGACCTTTTAACTTTAACTACTTGAGAGACTTCCTATGCTTCATCAAATTGAGAACCTTTCTTTTCATCTTCTTGATCATTTGAGTCTTCTATCTCAACATATCTAGTAGGATTTTTAGAACTGATGGACAATCCTATGTTCTATTTCTATCCTTATACACCTTCATTTTATTGAAAGTGATATCTCTGCTCTTAATGAGTTGCTGATTCTGATAGTCATAGAATTATAACTATATTTATCTGAGCCA